AGCGTTCTTTTGAAATATACCAAAGATCAAATAATCGTCAAATTTCAATCTGGTCTGTGCAACACAACTAACTACCTAATGAAATAAAGACAATCAAAAATATTTGTGGGGTATCAGTTTCAACAAAATGCTGTTCAGATGTATTGTGGGTGAAACAACCGTTTCTTAGTTTTCTTTGCACAAAAAATTGAATTGTTTGATGATGAACAATGTTGGTGGATGGCATTAGGCATCAGACCTCCATGTCTGTCGCATCTGGACAGCGTGCTCAGGAACTGAGTCACACTGCAGCCCAACAGAAGGGTCTCTATAGTAATCGGACTCATGGTGAAAAAACACAGTGGTTGTAGATGAGGCAAGTACAGTATATCGGTTTCATCTCCAGATAATGGCATAATTGTTTCTTTCTTCTTATGGTTAGTCACATCCTTCATGGTCTTCTTTTTCCTTCTCTTTGGGTGTCACGTGGCACTCAGAGCTTCATATGGGAAGACATTCAACACGCCATACATGGAGGCACCACCGATATATCAACCAATTAGGATGTGCGTGATAATCCTGAAAGGAATGGAGATGAAGGGAAACACAGTGTGTGATATGTGGGTGGGGTTCAAAGTTGGTGGTTTTTCAGCGTCTCTAGGCCCCACAAACTGAGGCCTCCTACTGTCCCCTGAGTGTGTTTGTCCTTTGTGTCTCATCCATACCTAACATCCAGAGTCCGCTGTGTTTCCCCTGGGTTAGAAAACAGCGTCACACTGAAGGAATTTGGACCATGGCCGGTGTTATTGTGTAGAGGGAAGGCCTCATGTCCCCGCAAACATCTGTGTTAAGATGGATAGTGTTGGAACTCATAACCTCTGCAATATTAGCACATGAAAGGTAGAGAGACTGCAGGAGGGCTTTTTGACTACTCATAGAGGCCCCTCTATTAGCCTCCCATTCATTCTCAAGCAGACACACACATGCCACTGTTATTACACACTGCATGTTGGTCACTTTCAGCATCCGTCGCAGTAACTAACTCTTCTGAGACGTTCAGCTGAGTAATTTTGTCATAATTGTGATTAATGTTCTGGCGGGTCACTGGCAGTGTTAAAGCAATTAACAAGGCTCAATGCCCCCCGCCCCCTTTGCACAATCAACAAGTCATTTACAAATCATTACTTGGGATTTTTCAAGAGTCAGAGTGTGCCATTGTGGAAATGTGCTACGGGTCATCTGATACGAGAACAGCTATGACTCTGCTAATGTTTCCCTTGGGGAGTGTGATTTTGGTGCACACGATGCCCAAGGGCAGTGGCCTGGTCTGGGACAGGGGGGATAAATAACAACAGAAGGAGGGAGCAAGAGGGGAGCTGTGGTTGAGAGAGAGCAGGAGTCATGGATACACACTTCCCAGAAACACACACATCAACTTCTCAGAGAAATGAGAAACTTTCTATGCAGGAAGAGTCAAGTAAAGTTGATGCATGTCTACTGTCTGATACAGGGGCGGATCTAGAAAAATATTCATGGGGTGACTTTAAGGGGTGGCAGAATATATGCTGTTTTAATTGCAAACAATCACATATATCAACATTTGCTTGGAAGATTATTGTGTTAATTTCCTTTTTTTTTAACAGACTATTTATCTAAATTAATGTGCTAACTCAGCTTTTGACACCAAACTAGGATGACAATTATTTCTTTCTCTATAGATCTGCTCTGATGACAAAGGATATCTGAAAGAGGAAACACGATTGCAGACAGTTCTGTATGCAAGGAAATACATACATTACATAAGGAATGTAATGTTTGTGTATGTCTGTCTGAAGAGTGTATTCAAGGAAAAAAAAAAATTCTTCCACATTATTATAGGGGTTTGTTTTGAATGAAAGTAAATGGAATGATAAGGAATAATTTAAGAGATTATAAGAGGCGTTATGTTTTATTTAAATTAAGTTTATACATAACTTCACTGTTCTCATTATTTCTGGCCGTCTAAAAATAATCTTTCATTTTAAATGATGCCACTTCACCTATATTTTTCTTCTTCATTCTGTCTCTGTATGTACTGTTTCTGAAGCTGGTAGCCAAAGAATTTAAGGTACCGTCTACCGGAAAAACCAAAGATCAATCCCACATGACAGCCAAGTGTCTGCCCTGCGGTAACTGACCTGTGCTCCTGAGCTAATTGTTAGGGGGGGTCAAACACAAAGTTTTTCTTTGGGTCATTAATGTGAATGCAAAACTAATTCATAGGGTCACAAAACAAGACAGAAACAGAAAAATAAAGTTCAACAGAAAAACACACATCATTTCATAAATATGTTTCGATGTTGCAGTGATGTTAGTATCATCCAAAAGAAATGCGAACCAGAGTGCCTTTTGATGGAGCACAAGCAAATATAATCAGACCTTTAGTGGACCACAAAGCACTGGAGAACACCAGATCTGTGTGCGCTCACATCTTCATCCTGCCAGTTCAAACGATTCGCAAGTTTCAGATCACAGCTGCCTGATAGTTTTAATTTCCGTCTTAAAGAATATTGTTGTGTCGCAGCACTTTTCTCTTCCATGGTCAAACCACAGTGACAAAGGAGTGTCTGCGTTTTGACCACCTAATGAGCTCCGCAGGGCAATTTTTATGATCCCTTGACATTTTGGGTGGTGACAAACTATAAGGGCCTTTAAATTGCTGTGTTCAGCTGCCAGCGTGGCTGGAGGTACAGAACTAAAGCAGAGTTAATGATCTTGGAGCAGAGTTAGGAAGTGACATCACACATGGATACATATACATAGGGATATGCACGTACACACACAAACATTAAAACTGAACCCAGGTTAACTTTACCACCTTGTAGTTTTTTATTAAAAACTGTTCTGAACGAGGAGAACAATGTTCACTGGGACCTTCTTGAAGTGGCTTTCTTTGACCCTTGTTACCCTCTCACGCACACACACACACACACTAAAATTTCATATTTTTCATGCTCAGCTTTTCAAGATGAATAACCACTAAGTGGAGTTTCATTGGCTGCACATCTGGGAGCCCTTACAGCTAAAGACGTAGAGAATATGTACTGTAAGCTGAATGAGCACATACGCGTCCCTTATTTCTGTGTCATTCCTTGCATTTCACATGACAAATCTTTATTCGTCTGTCAAGGTGTCAGTTTTTCATCTGACATTGTGGTTGAACTCCAAAACCCCAACAGAATTTTGAAGGCAATGCTGAATATGAATTTCATATGTCTTCTCTTGTCATTCCTCAGCCTTTGAGTAAATCAGTACATCACTGACTGTACAGCTCATACCAAGGTGATGAGTAGCCTTCTGGTTTTATTATTTTTCTGAATATTTTTCACAATATTATAAAACACAGCCTTGCAGCACAGATTTTAATTCACTTTTTTTGGGGGGGAAAGTTGCTGTTTCTGGGATTTTCTTTATCTTTAAAGTAGCAATGACTCACAGCTGATTAGATCTGTGTTCTTGTCTCGCAGGTTTGGTTCGATGAATTTGTGAGACACATCATGGTGAGAATATTTGTGCCGTGTTTCTTTAGGCTCAGTGCCAAGCTAACCCTCAAGTACCAACATGCTACTGAGTAAGATGCCTTGTGTAAATCTGCCAATTAGTCATTTAATCATGTTGTTCTGTTACACTTCAGTAAACTTGATGTGCAGATGCATTAGTGATTTAACACATCTCATTTACTTTCCATGTAATCTTTTTTTTAATGGAGACTTTGTTAAAGAAACTTCTTTTCATGTTTACATTAGCTGTTTCGTTTCTCAGACACAACACATTTTATATGAATGACCTAGTTTTACAAGCATGTTTTCAGACATTTCTCTCATTTTCCATTTACAGGTAAAAGCACATAAAATCTAAAGTTCAACCTTTTACTTCCCCCTTTCACTGCATCTCAGGCTTCGTGGCACCAGTCACACCACCTGCATGGTTTAACTGGTGGATGTTGGCAGCAACTCCAAAAACACAATGAGTTCTCAACTATTACAAGCAACTGCTTTTCATTTGAGGGCATGTTGTAATTGTATGTTTTTGTGCAACCCACCCAGATAATGTAGCCACACAGGTAAGTGCATGATAAAACAGTGATGATAGAAGGCAAATTTGTCTTATAAAGTTTAATTTAAAATATTCTCAGTGAACAAATGATTTACTCAGAGTACAAGTAGTTGCTGACATTGGAAGATAAGAAGATCTATCCTCTGTATGACTGATAAGATGTGACAAGCTGCCTTATCTTCACATTATTGGAGAGGAAAATACTTTTTGCTACCTGCAGATTCCTGCAGTGATATCCGATTAAAGCAATCAGTTCATACAGTGATTATATCTGATTAATTTCCACTTCAAATGGGGACACTAGCGCTAAATCAGTTGCTAAATCAAAAGCTTTATCTCCCACAAAGAGTGCTGCTGACTCTCCTTTTATCCCGCTTAAACTGGACTTCAAAGCTAATCAGTAAACAACGCAAAATGGGTTGTGGACTGTCACTTATAGCCCTTTATCTCTCCCTGATGTTTCAATCAGTGGACCACTGTCATCACATATACTACTGTGCTCCGCCTCACATAATGCCCTTAGAGGGAAGTTAAAAGTTCATCCCTTTTAGCTCTAATTTTTTCCTAATGGTCGCTTGTTGAGTTAATAGTTAAATAACAGGCAGGATTATTGTCCTTGCCTCGCGTTTGCCCTTGTGAGTAAAGCTAAACACATGTTCTCACATCAAAGTCTTAAGATTTACCCTCTGATCCGCTAGTACAGTAAGATTACAGCAGCTGTGAGTTGGGCATGGAAAAGCTTGATTCACACTGAGTATAAGAGTCATTTAACTAAACACTGTGTGTGTGCATCTGTGGGTATAAGTGTGTGCATTTATGATGATAGTCTTGAAACACATATATGAAAGCATACATTCAAATACTAACCATAACATTTCCTTTTACAGTAAAAATGTTGGTTGGACAACTCAATTGTAAGAGTAAAGATCCTTCATTTAAATGTTTAGATTTAATATATAAATGCATAAAAGAGTACAAAAATAAAACATTTGCATAATATTAATTTTACATATGACAAGGAGATTTAAATGAATAGATGACTCCCAGACTTTGACAGTTAAATGCAGCTACACATTGAATGATCAAAAAGAACAGAACGGAAACAGCACGATTAACATAAAAAGTAAATATAACAGACAGAATTTAATGGTCAGACTTAGTGAGTAATAGTAAATTTCATTGTTAAAACTTGAATACATCAGATATAAAGTGCATTGCTATCTGCATGACAGTTGTAGGTAGTCACAAACATCTATTAATTGTCAGTAAGGATACTACAGTACTTCTTTCTCTACTGTGGCTCTCGATGTGGTGACTGTTATTCTAATTGCTGTACACCCTTCTTCGACATGGACAGTCATACTTAATAAGTTATTTCAATCCGAATCCAGCTGACATAACAAAATCGTTTTAACATGAATTTAGTAATACAGCTGTGTCAGAATTTGTTTGCACAATTTCTTCTTTAGTGAAAAGCTTTATAATTCCAGTAAATTTTGACTTATTGCTTGCTCAATTAAAAGTGTTTGGGATCCAGATGTTCAGCTTTTCTCTTAAGAGTGAAAAAAGCAGACATGTTGGGTAACAGAGGGTCATGTAATCACAGCCACAGAGCAGTTCAGGAAATGCTCAAGCTATTTTGGCATCCTAATTTCCATCACAAAAACATTGTAATTGCCATTTTACTAGGATATTTTATACATCTTATATTCAGTCTTGGGGTAGCTGGCATCCATTGAAATCCCATGGTGCCAATTAACTTGAAACATGAAATACAACTTGGCAAACTCTGCGCCTCTGCCCATTCCTTTGTTTTTGGAAGAGAAACTACACATTGTTCTTCATCATTGTGTACAATTTAAAATCAGAGACAATAAGGATAAGCAGATCTCATGTTAAGGATTAGTTATAATAAATCTCCTGGCTCAGTGGTCTACAGGACTCTACTACTTACAAATGGGATGTTGACTCATGTTTGTATGGAGAAAACCCTCCCGCTGACCTACATCTCTCACCCTTGAACACTTTGACCCCAGGGTCGATCCCTTTTTCTAAATGACAGAGAGGCCAGAAGGACAAGAAAATCTCCAAAAATAGCTCTTTACTGTTGAAATCCATTAACAACAAAGTATATACATTATAGTTAGAAAAACATACACTCAGATATAATTGCACTTTGCACTAATAACATCTATGATCTCTATAAGTGATGAGAGTGGTGATGGTGAAGTCGGCGACGGGGCTGGTGGATTGGTGTTCATGGTAAAGAGTTGTAGGTTTATTCAATGCATAAGGCCGCAGCGTGGCAGCCGGGATAAGTGCTGTACAACATACCAGATGATCTCATATCACACGTTCGATAGCTGTGATGGCTCAGGAGCATCTCTGCAGGAGCTTTTAGTTGCCCTGTTTGGATTTCTTCATCCTGGAAGGGAAAAGCAAATGTGATATAAGAACAAAATAGATTGACTGAAACACAGATGGTTGCTGGCTACCAATTCTGTCAAAACCAATAAGAACTGATAAATAACTCTGGCTGAGGGACAAAAAACTTGTATCATGTCTATCTGGTCAAACACTTGGCTGTGAAAATATAACTAGTAAACACCATATAGAAAAGTATTTGAGTATTTGTTCAGCCATGATTGGATGCCAGGAAAGTGCCAAGATTCAGAATATATTCACTTCCACTATTCTCAAACAAAAACAGCTGCTTCAAGTTTACTAGACCAAAATGTTTGTTGACCTGTAATCAAGAAACTTATTCTCGGCCTATTAAAGTTGAATTTTCCCGCATTCAGATTTAGCCCGTTAATGAGTCTGCTTTTAGCCCATCTGTCAGTTGGTCAGTTAGCCAACTACTTGTTGACAGGTTTTTTCCTTCCAAGAGAAGCTTTTTGTAAACTTTTCACTTCATTTCTGGTACATAAAAAAAACCCCAACTTGTTTTGATAATTTATACATCTAAATATGTGATTTTGCAGAACATTCCTTTGCAAATAAGTGGGTGATATACACATAGCGCTGCACTGTATATTAACAGTGTAAACACTTGAACATGGGTGGGCAGTTTAATTATTGACATTGGAATAGTACTGAGCCACATTTCAACTGATAAAAAGGTAATCATGGTCTTGTTTACCAGACTAAAGAGTAGCATAATGCATGACTTACAACCGTGTGCTTTTACACACATTGTAAATAAGTTTGTCCCCCCCTCCCCTTTGACTGTATGTGTAATTGGAAACACATTAGGTCTGATCCATTGTAAATGACCACCATCTACTCTCTGCATGGGATGTTTTGTTATGCAGAGGGCGGCTCACACCTTGACAAGTCAAGGGCCCCACAATCATCCTGAGACAGACAGTCTGACTGCGGGAGTCTGGGCGGGTCAGTCAGTGGGTATTGAGTGTGTGTGTCAGAGGCTGGAGCATAGGGGCAATATCAACATCCTCATTGAGACAGTGATTACAGGAGTGCATTAATTTTCATCTGGAAAGACAGGAAATCAAATTTTTTTTGCAACTTTATCTGTCTCCACACCACAGTACGGAGTTTGTTTCATCTGACCACTACAGGGGTGCTGAATCCTTAGAAATATATGACTGCACAGAGTTCAGGATGGCAACTTGATCCCTTCTATAAACTTCATGGTGCCAACATTTTTTTTAGAAAAGTGTCCTAAGGGCAGGAAGGAGACAGTTGATATTGGCGGTGACTTTTAGCCCTCACAATCTTAGACAAACTTTAATATGATTGTAGATTATTGTTGTTCCATTAACACTAAGGAGGATGGTAACTCTATGAAGTTACACCTTTTTTTGCCTGTATAAAGTTAAAAATCTGTTTAGCAGATGTATAGTATTTATTCAAGTCCATATTTTAATAAACCTGTGTTCTAGTAAGAGCAGATGAAACATGATTCCTGTGTGTGAAAGTGGAATCAGTCTCTATTCCCACTTGGTCATGCACCAACATGTCTTGAGTTTTGGGCTCCATTATAAATCGGGCCATTAGGAGCTGTCACTTTCACAATGGTCCATTGATAGATGTCCAAATGTGCATTTGTGCTTTTGCATTCCTTACTTTTAAGTTCTATAGAGTGGAAGTGATTTTACAGTGCTCCAGACGAGATATCTGTTTCGAGGTTGGCAGATGACAAGAGAACAACAGAACCGTGCATTGGAGCAAAAAGTCTGATTTACTTGAACTTACTTGTTTAAAGCGTTCTTCAGGTACTGCTGCAGCCACTTGACCTCTGGGTTTACACACACCTCTTTGTTTGTCTTCAGCTTGGCACTGATTAGAAAAAGGAAAAGAGTTTAGCACATGCCAATTATGTCCGAGTTCAAGATGAAAGGGTGAATTATGCAAAGTCAGTAACATCAGGTGTCTTAACACATTATTCTTTAACAGACTGACACTAACATTAACACTGCCATGTCATGTTTGACACATGCAGAGAGCTCTTTCACAGTGGTGACCAATCACTCTTTCACCCTGTATGTGACGCAGCAGATATTCATACAGCTATAGAATACATGCATTCAGGAAGTTCTTAGAGATCATATATCATATATAGTTTGTTATTCCAACCCTAATTAATGTGCAGTGCAAAAAAAATGTGTACATGGAGGTTGAGGAGTCAATCTCTCAACATGTGGCTACAGGCTACTTTCTAAATCCAGCATAACCCTGTGGTTATTTACAGAATGGGTCAACACTGGATTATATGTCTCTATGTGGAAGATCATGCCTCGTCTGGCGCACGTCCTTTATTCAGTAACTAAAAATCAGGTTTTCCCTCTCCCTGTGTGTGTATTTGTCAGACCCGCCAATTTTAATTCCCATTTCTAACATTTAACTGTTCCTGAAGTTTTCCGCTCCATTGTGACCAACTGCATTGTGCTTGAGTAGCTGCACACTTTCATCTGTAAATCCACTCCACACGAGCCATAAGAATAAATGAGATCAGACCTAAAGGTTGGATGAGGAGGAAACGCTGCGTGACAAGCAAATGAGAAGCAAACCCAATTACTAAACCCACAATTATTGCTTTCCTGTTGAAAACAAAACTGCATCCAATTTCCACCACCCTTTCACGTTCACTCAAACTCAAATGGAGCACTTCCTGTGGATGCGTCTGTAGTAAAAACTGCTTTCACTGCATGTGTGTGAAAGTGAGTGACAGAGGGGCGTATGTGTACACATGCATGCACAAATCTTTTCTCTGGCCTGTCACCTCTCTGAGATTGATGGTGAGAAATGTCCAACGAGGAGGAAACCTGTCTTATGTTTTAAATCCAGCGTGGAAAACGTGCAATTCTGTGTTTGTGTGGGTGCCACTCACTAAAGCAAGCATTAAAAATTACACTCACATCACTTGGAAGGGGCAGTTGGGCGTGTGGATGAACCTGAGCTCTCGGATGTAGCCTCGTGGGACGTTGTTGACCGTTGAACGACAGTAGCATCTCTCCACCAGACTGATGGGCTTTGCTGAGAAAGAGAAGGAGATGAGTGTCAGTTACACGTTTACAGCAAAGCATGTTTGCAAGAAAGCAATAAAGCAATAAAGCATAGATTAGATGAAGGCAACAACCTCCTGAGGAAACTGGGATACTACTAGATACATTCTGTTGAATATAAATAAGATTAAACATTATAACAACAACCAATTAGAGCTGAAATGATTCAGAAAACACAAACACAAACACAAATCAATCCATCCACAACATTCTCTTGGGCAGATTAAGAAGTTGAAGCATGGATGCAGAGCCACTAAAAATCTACAGGAATGTGTTCATGCATGCACTGCACTTAGCCTTGCAGAAGAATTCATCTATTCATTATCTATACCTGTTTATCTAGAGAGTTTAGAGGTGTAGAAGGATGGAGCCAAAATGTACCCACCTTAAATCAAAATAACATATTTATGGTTTAGAGATTTTTTATTTATTTTTTTTGCTTTCCTGACAGAACACACACAGAGGTAGAGGACGTACCAGGACTCCTGGACCCACAAACACTAAACTGTGCACTGTGTGGTCCTTAAACATCATGATGGATGTGAATACTTACCATTACAACCCTCAGCTTTCAGGTTGGTACACAGAGATTTTCACGGTTGGTGAATTTGTAAAAACAAATAGTACTATGTTTTCTTTCTTATGGTCTATGGTTTCTTTTTTAGACAAAACTCAGGGTTAAACAGGTTAACAGTGTTTAAGGAGTACAAAAGAGTACAAAGCAGGATAAAACAGAATCATTTTCTTTTTCTTGCAGTATTTCTAAGGGGAAACTGCGGGTCAAAAAAACAGATGGTGAGAAGCACCGCTGTAGATTAAACCCTATGCTAATTGTTTTTTACACATGATCTCAAGGTATTAACATAATAAAGGGAGCAACACCTTCAAGTTGGGTGACTGATGTCGCCATTTAGACTAGCTGCGGCTTTGTCTTATAGCTGCCTCATTTGCCCATAATTAAATGAAAACAAAGAGCAGAACAAATACACACGTTAAGCGGTGATCCGACAGGGAGCCACATGTGAAGCCTGTTGGCGCTTTACGCGCGGCGGAAAATGGTTTTTCTCACCCGAGAACAATCTCATACATGAAACTCGCACGAAAAAGATTTGTGGGATGAAAATAATATTTGTTTTGAAACGACGAGGTTGACATTTAATTCAGGCAACATGTGCATTTTAATTGTGTGTTATTCAAATCTGACAATTTGAATTAAATTGCAGAATATTTGGATAGATTTGTCAATAAAACTTCACGAAAATTAGGATTAACATACATTTAAGAACATAACACAATAATTACAAATGCCTATCAGGGTTATTTCTATAGGCTATTTAAGTAGTAAAAGACAACAGTTATGGAAGGAAAAGATTAATCTGTTAGACGCTTATTTAAACTTCCACTGATGCTTTTTCTTTTCTAAAAATGCAAAATGCAAAATGTTTTCAATCTGGCAAATAATGATTTTTACAACTTATTTTAACAGCTGCAAAAAAACAAAAACAAAGTCTAAATAAACCTGAGTCAACAACACACCGCAAACCAGTAAACAATGTCTTACCTTGTGATGGAGGCACATATATCATCACCACCGTGAGCGCAGCCACGACTGCCAACAGCTTTACATCCATTCTGCAATAATGTCGCTGAGGTTTGATCCTGCACGAAGTAAAGTCCAGAGGAGCTGTGACAGACGGGACCGTGGCGGGATATTAAATTACGAACCCCTCGTCAAGCCAGCCAGAAAAACAGGTACTACTACTTCCGGTCGTGATGGCAAAAATAAAAGCGAGAAAGAGCATGTGCGTTGTCAATTTATCAACTAATATAGTGTATCAAATTACAACCAAACGAAAAGTATACGATTATAAAGTACATTCTTCAAAATATGTTTGGGATTGATGAGTCTATTTCACAATAGTTGAGTTATATGCTTTTATTTTGTAAGAAAAACCTTGTTTCCTGTTTCATTGGGGTGGTCTCGGGTGAAATTGACGCAGGCAGCCAAATTACGCACGGAGGTCAATGGAGACGCATCAAACTATCACGACCCCACTCAATACACACACACACACACACACACACACACACACACATACTTTATCATGAGTGTAACCTAACATTTAAAAAGTCCTATTATTCGCTGTATTGGCATCATTCTACTGTGTGTTATGGAATATTTTTGGCATGGCCTCCAAACTTCACAAGAAGTGAATTTTGCTTTACTTATTTGCTTTATTTATTTAAGTCATCTAATAAGAAACACAATTTTGCCCACCAGACAAACACTGGATACATTTCCCTCAGCTCAACATGGTCCTTGTGGCTGTTGCTGAGGCTACGGAGAGAAACGGGAGACATTTTTGCGCACGTGTTTGTTTTTAGTCATGGCTTGTCTTCTCGGAGACTTCATTGGCCCAAATTAATTAAAAGCTGAAAGTGTAACTGGAGAGACCTGACATGTGCGTAAAGTGTTCTGTTACATCGATGCATTACATTATATTGATGCTCTAACAAATAGACAAAAGGGACATAACACACCACAACACGCGCACCTCCCAGCGTGTGTTTGGAAAAGAGTTCAGTTCTCACTGAATCTTCTAAGTGAATCCCTAAACAATTGTCTTTACACAGACTGCTGAAATTTCCAATCTGGCGTGTGTGAGTGTGTGCGTGTACATCCTCACTGCTGTGTTTAGGGGCATTATTAGCGTATTTAACGGGATGCAGATGTGAAGTCAGTTTGTCTTTCATCTTCCAGAGCAAACACTCCAGTGTATAAGTGTGCATATATGTGTGTGTTATATGAGTAAATACATAGTTTCGGTGTGTGCGCATGTCAGAAGTTTTAGAGATCTCAGATGAAAACTGAGCCTTGTATTTTGCACAGATCACACACTGAGTTGCTCTAATGCTTTAATACCTGAAATATCTTTAAACACCTGTTTAAGCCAAATACACACAGCTGAACTAAATGCAATTCCGCAATATATATATATATTTGGAAATCATTTAAAAGCTTGTGTTTACACAGACTAAGGGTGTGTTTTGCTACTTTTTTTATGAATCACAGGGCAACATGAATAATATGCATAAGTGTTTTGTATTTTCTTTTCTTTCTTCTCCCATTTATTGAAGACATATCCCCTCATCACACAGCTGTGGGAAAGCAAACCACCTGCTGACAGCACACTTTATCATGAAAAAGAGTGAGGAATAGAAAAGGGGGAGTTCAAGGAGAATAACAAGAGAATACGCTTGTGATTTACTGCATCCAGCCAGTATCATAAGTAAAGCACAAATCCTCCTTTATGTAAGTAATGTGGGCAATGTCTGTCTCAAGGACTTGGTATTAATGCACATAAGAAATGCTGATTATAAAGTGTTTTCACTACCTAAACTTACTTACTTTTGTGTAAATCTATCTGTGTTCATCATTTTGTGCTGTCTGAGACATTTCGCTCCATACGGTGCACACTGTGTTTTGGATCTCAGACAGTTTTTATAGATGATGCCATGGAGACCAGACAGACAGGAGGGGACGCACGGAGCAGCATCAACTGACAGCTCAATAGACACATATTGACTTCTCTCACAGGCCACAAAAGCTAACAAGTGTGTGTGTGTGTGTGTGTGTGTGAAGCTACTAAAGAGAAAGATAGAACAAGCCGAGAGGACCAGAGTATGAAAGCCAAAGTATTTGAGTAAGGGTCTCTCAGCTAGCAGTGAAAGGTGACTTCAGAGGGTTTCAGATCAAAGTGTCCCTCCGATCACAACAGCTCGCTCTCTCACAGGATCCCTGACATGTCATTACAATACACATTCACTTCTCTGTTCCTTCCCAAACCTGTGTGAGCCTGCACCCACAACAAACGTGTGCAGTGCGACTTGCGCAAGCACAAATACAAATGAAAGTCATTTGTCTTGAACATACACACAGACACACACAGACAAACGCAGACACACACAAAAAAGTACAGACCGATCAGTGACATGTCATGGGTGAAAAGTCGGAGAACATCCAAGTATTTCAACATTTCTGCCACATACCCCATGATTTACTTTCTTCTACTGAGGTAAATGGACTTTAATAGTGTTGTTACATAAGCAGATTTGGCAGCACATCTTCTTTCCCAATTGTTTCATTCTTTCTTGCATCAACAAGTCTTCAGCCTGCATCTTCCCACAACGAAACACTCTTTTCTTACCAGTAATAGTTTATATAAATTGTTTAAAATTGAAACAAATGAAAATAAATTATATGGACCTTATATGGAAAGTTATGCTTTGTGTTCGGATAGTGACTCATTTTTAATGAATTTTAATGGGTTTGCATGATGCATTTCTGGTGATTGGGTTGCACCCACTGAACATACATGCTACCTGTTACGTTTCACTCACACCTGTGAAGTGTCTAGTGTGTTTGTCTGAGCTGACAAGAGTTGTGGTGTCATGTTCTGCAGCCCATCTGTCCATCTGTCTGTTTTGGGGGGTCTCACTCCAGGAGTCCATCTCCTGGTCTCATTTCTTACTGTACTCTCAAAGAACACGGTAAGTGCTTTTTTTGACTACAACTGTAAATCACATGTCAGGTTTTTCTCTGAAGCTCTGGAGGCACAGCAGGTGCAGGTATTTAGGACCACGAGAATGTTTACGTCCGCCAACTCTGATCAACTCTGTTTCATTGTTGTTTTTCTTTTTCAGTGTCACTTTTTTCAATCTCACTCTTGCGTCACTAGCATATCTAAATGCATCCTGTGTTGCCGAGGCAAATAGAGGAAGCAAGAGAAAGTAGATAAAGGAGAAGAAGAAAGAAAGCAAATGTGATTCTAACCCAAAGATCAAACCATTCAAATCATCAGATATTTTGTATATTCTGTCATGTCAGAAGCTCCATAGATTTCTTTCTATTCTATGTGTTTCTAGTCTGTACATTCAAATATTTCTATACTTCTCTCTTGCATTTGCAGTAATACAGTTTAAATCTCTGCAGCAAATCTTTGGATGGCCTGTATAACATCTGAATTTTTAATCTGCACACATTAAGCAGCTTCATCATGAACACGTTTACAAAGTTTATTAAATAGTTTCCTTCTAAATATTTAAAAAGTTCAATAATAGTAAATTAATCTGCATGTCGTGAATGATGAGCTTGTGAAAACATGAATCTGTCACATGCCAAAGGATTGTTAAACATTCCTTAACTACTATTCACCTTTAAAGAGAGACCACGTGACCCAGGAGGCAGGAGTATGGATGGTTGAACGTATTATGTTGGAGTGGCCAGTTTCCATAGATCCAACTTTGGTTTGAAAACGTACAGGCAACTGGCCCCAGTGGGGGATCTGCCACAACTCCATTGAGGCTCTGTGAGGCTGAGGGCCTGCTGACTGAGTCTTTGTCTGGTTTCCTCTACATCCTCCAGAGAGTCACGAGCCCTGCGCCTTCACACCACCATATGGACCACCTCAATGGCCTGTCAACAAAGTCTTTAGCCATAGATGTTGAATCAAAGGAGAAACAATGCGTTTGACAATGGCTTTATAATCACTTGTAGGTTTCAAGATCCTCCAAAAGTAAAAAAACAAACAAAAAAAGGCATTTTCTGCCTCATTTTAACTCTGAGCTGAATCTAACAAATCAAATAACATGGCATAATATCCCTTTCCTCATATTTGTTGATTTTTTTCCCCCAGCAGGGACTGTCTCCACATTTCCCTCGGTAATTAGTGCTCTCTCTGCTCGTACTTTAAATAAGATATAATCAGCATCAAGTTTTGATCTTCTGCGTTGTCCTTCAAAGTGGTTTGTGAACCAGACAAAATGCTCGTTGCGTCACAGTGCTGTCGTCACATCAATACTTTAATCAAATTTGTAATTTTTGCAACAAATTGCACATGACTCACCATCCTGTTTTTTGTACCTGCTTATGCACCAAAACATAATAGATTTACTGCAGGAAAGAGTCGTATTAATAACAAACAGCAGACTGAGTTTTTGCAGTGTGATACTTCTTGAGGTACTGTGAATAAAACATAAAGTCCGTCAGTCAGTTGTGCTAGTTTTTATGGTTTCAGCTGTGAGTTTAATGCCAGGATGAGCCACATGAACTACAGCTGGTGTTGAGCTAGCTGGTAAGGTTGATGGTGGATCCATAGAGTTTGACACCTGGTGCTCTCCATCCACGGGAACAAAAATCCTTCAGCTGCTTCTGTGATGTTGCCCAGGAGGAGCCGAGAGATGCATTAAGGTTCATGGTAACACTGCTGAATCTGCTTTTTGAAGTCAAGACTGATGATATACTGTTGTCATGCATTTACAGGGTTTTATAAATCGAAGGAATGCTATTGCGGTATATCATCCCGATTTTTCCCCGAAACACTCTCTAGAGTAGGTTTCTCAGTGGGTCATAGAAATCTATGATTCACTCTCACAAGATTTAGAGAGGATAAGTCATTAAATTGAACATTCAAGCATGAGTTGGGACAAAATGTCCTGAATTTAGTCTGATCTGTAAAGCACATTGGTTTGGTTTGGTTCTGTTCCTTCATTGTAGTTTCTCAATTCTGTATAAGCTGGAAGCAGTGAACCGTGAACCTGTGTATATATACATGTTACTCCACGTGTGTGGATTACTATTTTGCAACTGAGCATAAACACACACTAAATACCAGAACAGATACACATATGCAAAAACACACTTTTTCTC